GAAAAAGGAGTGGACCAAGGATCGAACCTTGGGGAACACCATGCAGAATTGAAAGCCGGTCAGAGTCACACCTCAATACAGATGTATATTGTTGTCTATTATAAAGGTAGTTTTTGAACCACTGAAGTGCGACTCCTCTGATACCATAGTGTTCTAATTTGGCAAGGAGAATAGAGTGGTTAATGGTGTCGAATGCTTTCGAGAGATCAATGAACACACCTATGGCATCGAGTTTCTTACAGAGAGCATCAGTAACAGTGTCAATGAATTGAATGAGGGCCATGTCAGTGGAGTGTTTACTGCGAAAGCCGTATTGATTATCATAAAGAAGGTGAAAGTTAGAAGCAAAATCAAAGAGGCGATTGTAGACTAGTTTCTCGAGGATTTTGGAGAAACACGGGAGTACAGAAATAGGCCGGTAGTTTCCGATGGTACGGGCATCTCCATTTTTGTAAATAGGAATAACTTTAGCTATTTTGAGATTAGAAGGAACCGCACCTGAAGAAAAGGATAGATTACAGATGTAAGTGAGAGGTTCAGCTATAAAACAGATGGCCGATTTGATAACAGTAGAGCAGATGCTGTCAAACCTGAAACTAGCACTGGATTTGAGTTGCCTTCCACTACGGATGATTTCTAAGGAATCTGTTGGAGTAAAAAAGAAAGAGGAGGGATTCGAGTTGTGGAGATAATCGGGGAAGTGAACGTTTGTGGCTGGGATTTTGTTAGCAATGGAAGAACCTAAGTTAGTAAAAAAAGAGTTGAAAGAATTGGCAATGTCGAGAGAACTTTGAAGACTGACTTTTCTGGCAAAGGGCTTTAAATGTAAATACACCAGGAGTCACTTTCTGTTCCAACGCCGTAGTCCGTACAAAGTTATAAATCCTCAAAACCTTCGATAAATCTCAAAATGTCAACCTTTTTTAATATGTGCAGATGCCAATCCACTGTTCTCAATACACAAAGTAACTGGAATTCTAAAATTCAAAACTTTGTCCAAATTAATCCCGAAACTCGGACCCACATTTCTCCACCATTTCTAGCAACTTAATGCTGAATCTTTCAGCATCATGAATTTCTTGTTAGGCCTACGGCAGAATCGATGAGCAACCCATACATAAACATCAAAATGTCTCTCTTGTACCACGGAACTGAGCAAAAGAGACTCTTAATGCCCCACGTGCACACTAAACCATCATGCATACGGTCCTTGGATGGTTTCACTCGCTTGGAAAATACACCACATTGCAATCGAGGTATGGTGAGTACACGTATTCATTCGCCCCGTATAACAGTTCTCAAGCCTTGAATTTCAAGACGATTTTACGTACAGCCTAGTGGTTAGGGTGAGGTCTAAACTATCAGTAGGATAAAGTAATATCAAACAAGGACACTGGTTTTTACATCAATTTTATTCAATACATGTAAGGACTTATTAAACCTTATTTTCAATAAAATAAATGCAGATCAGATGTGATTGGTAGTTCACACTTTCAAATGTCGTCTTTGCGTGATTGGTCCCGGATTAGTCAGTAGGCCTATTTTATTGTCACCATAATTTCTGTTGATCATCTTGTTCAGGCTCTACTGGCCTCTTGGCGAACACCTACTGGGGACTGGCCCTCCTTGCTGAGTACCCAGACGTCCAACAAAGGATCGTCAACGAGATCCATGATGTCATTGGGAGGGATCGTCAGCCCTCCCTGAATGATCGAGATGCTATGCCATACACCATAGCTACCGCAATGGAAATGCTGCGGTTTGGATCCGTGGCTCCTCTGGGCGTGCCTAGGGCAGCTTATGAAGATGTAACAATCGGTAGGTTTGAAAGGCTGTTCAGACGGAAATTTTTGCAAAGTAGATACCATTTTAAACATTAGATACTAATATTTTCATGTAATGAACTGTTTCCAATTAACTGTACATATATTGATGGACCATTATTCAGTTGAACTTTTCTGAAGCCAAACCTCAGAACATTTAATAGAACGAGAAATATATTCAATTTAGACGTAGTATGGGACCAAGTCTTAAGTCACACTAATGGTTGCTCGTGTTTTTGGCTGCTTTGTGTTTCATTGTCGTGATGTAAACCCTCAGTTTTTTTGTATACCCTAGGTGGCTATGGAATCCCCAAGGGCACGGGAATATTGTACAACATCTACGGCACCCACTTCAGCGATGTAAACTTCGCAAATCCTGATGAGTTCAACCCAGGTTAGTTCTACCCATTCTTAGGATTAGAGACATGCTTCTCAACCTATTGACAAAAAGAAAAAAACCCTTAAAACTCATCTGATCTTTCACGGTAGAAAAAGTACAAAGGCTGTTCAGACAGAAATTTTTGCAAAGTAGATACCATTTTAAACATTAGATACTAATATTTTCATCTAATGAACTGTTTCCAATTAACTGTACTTATACAAGGACATAGAAGAAATAGCTATCAAAGCTACTAGACTGTCGTCCATTGAGTACCAGACTGTCGTCCATTGAGTAGGATCTTCACCAGAACTGCTGACAAAATGAGTTCATAAACTAAAGACAATTGATAATTAGCCAAACAATACCGATCAGTAACTAACAAAAATGACCTGAAGTGGCTATAGACCTGTGAGAACTCCATCGTTAAGTTCTGCTAATCCAAATTGTCAAACGACACGACTCAAGCAAGACCCGCTATTAGTTCCCTCACATTTGCTTTGTTACCTCCACAGAGCGATTTCTGAACTCCAGTGGATCAGTCAATGTCTCACCAGACAAATTAATCCCATTTGGGATGGGAACCCGCAAATGCCTCGGCTACTTCTTTGCACAGTCTATCCTCTTCCTTGCCTTCACCCATCTACTGCAGGGATACGAGCTGAGCAAACTCGATGGTCAACCCGGGGATGGAAGCTTACTTGGTCAGGATCCTCAATATCAGGGGTCGCGCTGGCCAAGTCCCTTCCGTCTCGGGGTGGCCAAACGTGAATAAAGTTGTATCTCAGTCGGATGCAGCAAACTGTGATAGATCAATGCTCGGATGCATGCCTTGTTGAAGTCAGTGGTTCCTTAGTCTCGTCTATTTTGATGTTGTATAAGCGGCATCGGATTGAAACAGGATAAGTTACTATATCGTTTAATGAACTCTCTACAGTGCTTTAGTTCTAGTTAGTTCTTATAATATTAAGTAAGAGTATTTTAATTGTCTTGACAACCTGCCCGAAAATTACTTTTAAAAATTTAAGTCTGTCTGGCATAGCACCAGTAACCGGTGATACAGTGACTTGATGCTTAGCTTTGGCCTCAAGGCTGCCCCAAGGCCCAAGATATGGGGGCTTGTTACGGCCAATAATGTAACAATCGCCCAATAATGTAATACCGGCCGATAATGTAATAACAATCAACCGATAATGTAATAACCCAAGAGACCCATAATGTAATAAAAATCGGCCGATAATGTAATTACCCCAAACCGGCCGATAATGAAATAACATGGAGGCCGATAATGTTAAACATGGAGGCCGATAATGTAGTAACATGGAAGCCGATAATGTAATAACCGTAGATTTGCTTGTTTCTCAGAAGACTTCTGGGGACTTAGGTTTTCTTCGAATTTTCCCTGCAGATCCTTTCTTATTTTACCTTATTGCTTTTGAAGTGACAATTTTTCAATTTTTTTGTAATCAAATTATAACTGAACATGGACGTAATCTTTTCCCAAGGTGTATATAACACTCAGATGAATTATGGTGACCTCATTACATAAACCTTGTTCTTTTATTTAGTGTTGAGGTGATTTCAATTAACAGCACAGTCACCCATTTGGCTTGATTGGCATTTAAGGTGCAAACTTCGAAGCTCTATGCATCTATCTCCTTAAGTACATGTCCCACTGGGTTGACATTTTGCAAATACATGTAGCTAGAAAGGGAATTGTTGACGACGAAAACTGACACCAAGTCATGATGACGTCATCAGTTGACAAATCACGTGACATGGAAGGTGCTTCCTTTAAAGCCCCATTTATTTTCTAAAAAACGTGTCAAGTTGGGTAAAGACTTTGCAGATATCGCAAAAGGGATATGTTATAGACGAAAACTGACCTCGTGTCACGATGACGTTATCAGTTAACATATCGGGTGACATTAAAGATGTATCCTTTAAAGCCCTGCATCTTCCGAAGTACATGTCCGACTGGCTTGAAACTTTGCAGGTAGTGGAAAACTGTTGTTTTATATATGAACACTAGCTCAATTTAATGAGGAGCTCATCACGTCAGAATGAATATAATACTCCCTAAGAAGTAAGCCTGAGTGTCCCTAGCAAGTCAGCATCCTAACTCTCAGTTACTGTGATTCCAAGGCTCTAACCTCGAAAATAGATGAAAGTGAAAAATATCCTTGCACATACCTGCCAAAATCTCGGTCTGGCTCAAGCTATACTAACTTGTTTTTGAGCTTTCTATAGTTTCTTTAGTATAAGAGGGATCTGCTGGGAAAACTTGAAGAAAACCTAAGTCCCCCAAAGCCTTGTATGAGACAAGCAAACTTACGGTTATTACATTATCGGCCTCCATGTTATTACATCATCGGCCGGTTTTAGTTTATTACGTTATCGGCCAATTTTCATTACATTTTGGGTCGCTTGGGTTATTACATTATCGGTCGATCGTTATTACAGTATCGGACGGTATTACATTATCGGCCGATTTTTATCACATTATCGGCCGGTATTACATTATTGACCGATTGTTACATTATTGACAGTAACAAAGCCACATGAAAAGAGATACGGTTACAAAATCCCAACTTGCAACTCCTTTGTATCCAAACAATTGGCAAAAACACACACGGCCGCGGGTGACGCCTATATACAATAATATGCACCTTTCGTATGTGGACCAGTTGATGTGTGGACACGTGTTACAATCTTTACCAGGGCAGTTGAAAAAACGGGGAAGAGAATGAAAACATTGATGCCTAAACTCAAGATTTTTTTGCGCCCGTTCACAGTTGCGGTAAAGACCTTTCTCACGTACGTCACTGGATTGCACTAATAAAAATACCACCACGTGTGGACCGCAGTGGCCATGGTGATTGTATATATTCCTACGGGCAGCTTCAACCACGTGCAAGCGCATTTATGAACGCTGCATGCTTGATACGTTTATCTTGAATAAGCAGATAACAACACAATTCACCATTACCATCACAACACATCACGGTCCAGCAAGATTGTGACATCGTAGGAAAAAGGTCTATTTACTAGCCAGTTAACGTCGGATTTTTTCCCCCAAAAAACGCTGCTGGCCGCGGGTTTGTTTGTTTGTTTGTTTGTTTCGTTTCTAGCAAACGCTCCCCCATCTACAATTCACGTTGGACGAATTATTCTCCATTTAGAAAACATATGACAGTGGAATACCCCCATTTAATAAAGCTAATCCAGATGGTGCATTTAACAAAGGACATTTTGAAAACAAAACAGTTTACCTCATCACTGGCGCTCATTAGATACGTGCTAAATGTTATCCAGTAATTCAAGTAAACTGAATCCACCTTTTGTACCAATATCTTTCTGAACAGACTAATACAAGTACTCAAAATAAGTCACAGAATCACATTGTCACGATATTCAGTTTTTATTTACAAACAATGAATTTCTTATCAAAAAGAACATGTCAGTTGCTTATTAAAAATTAGGGAAAACAGGCCTTTACGTATTTAAAATGGAATGCTGTATCCGCCTCGAGCAGAGGCACCTCCTTATAGGTTGAAAGGACTCATATTGGTCGGGATCGAGTGTTGATTTCGTTGGTAGCGATATGCGACCGTAACGCGTGCATTTTATAGTCGTTTGTTCCGTTCAAAGCAGTCTCTAGATCTGTTGCCAAGAAAATTGCACCCTCTCTTGGTCCAGCTCGAGGCAAATATTCAGCCCTCTCAACACTGGGTAGTAAATTGTGCGTAAAATATATCTCAGATGCCGTGAACATCAGGGGTAAGTACAAATTACATGAGGGAATTAAATAAAGGGAACATTCTGTTCACCATTTATGAAAAGATATGTAAAGATTTCCAACAATAATGCGTTATGGTTGAAACTGCCTTTCTGAGTACTTTCAGTAGAGCAGCTTAAAAACATGTAAAATTTAAAGGTGGATCAGGATTATGTTGATTGTGATATTGCTTTCTTGCTCAAGTTACTAAATTTGAATACAACAGGTCTAAAATCTAAACTCAGCTCACTTAAAACCTGGAGTGGATTCATCTCATCCTTCACATAAAGTACATGTAGTTGTCATCAAAATAACTTAAATACTTTAAACACACACTATACCACATATACTTGAAACATAGGAGGTAGGTCCATAGTCTGAACTTTAGGTGCAGATTTTTTTTTTTTTTTGTATTTCTTTCTTGGAATAGAATCATCGTCCAAGCCAAGTCTATTTGGCTGGATATACGCATGGTATCATTCATCATTGTCTGATCGCTGTACCGACCGTCGGCTTTATTTTATTTATTTATTTTATTTTTTTGTAAATGATACTTATGACACACTTTGCTATGAGAGGACGCCATGCTTGTGTTTTTCACATTTTGGAAATGACAAAATGAGACAAATATATTCCCTGGTAGGATTAGGCCAATTCCTAGCGTATTTTGTGAAAATAAAATCGATAAAGAGTAGTGTGCAAAACTATTCGGATTATGAAGCTGTTTTTGAGAACAGAAGTTCGTTTATGTTTTGGCATATTTTTATTAAAGGCCTGAAACAAAGAATTCAAACTTTTCCTGAAATTTTCAAAAGTGGGGTACGTGTGGTGGAGAAAAGTGTGAAGGTTTCAAATTTGTTGACAGTGTCTCGCTAGATTTTATTTCTCTTCCAGACTGGAAGCGTTTGCATATCAGCAGCAATTAAACGTTAATTCCCACATTAGGGGCCTAAGCGTATGGCCTTGCGGGTGAATTTGTGAGTTCTGAAAGAATTCCAAAACGGTATAGGATGTGTAAGTCAGCAGCTGTGCATGTAACATGACTTCGGTAGAGTATCCTGTCTTCCTAATCTCTTCAATCTCATCAAGCGCTTATTTTTACTTTACACCAAAGGAAAATATTTCCTGCTGGATTGCTTAAACTTATGGGGTATTCATGTCGCTTATACTGTATGAGGATCTTAGTTTTCCACGAATGCCCAGATTTGTCCACACCATTGGTATATGCAAGAGAAATGGTGCTAAAAACGAGTTCGTTGCTCAACATTGTCCTTAGAATGCTTCAAATTTCCGAAGCGGACTCTGACCGGATGCCAGGAACGATTATTGATCAACTAGCAGCGGCGTCGGGGGCCCAATTTTACGGCGATCCTGAGGACACGACTTGAAGGATTGATTACTACAGGTGAATGTGAACGCGAAGTGAATTTGACGTCCCCACGACAGATTTGCAGCCGAATTTCGCTCAAGTTGAAAATGTGTTAGGCCTAAACTTTTGCGAATTCGCACTGCGAGTATTTGATCGGACGCTAAAGTTTGTTTCCACTTTCACGTCAACAACGAACCGGCCTCGAATAGTTCAGTATATCAAAACACTTGTCTAATAAATATTCTTCAAATTTTATCCAGGCCTTTGCAAGACGGTCCGTTAAATAGACAAGTAAAATAAGATTTTCTTTTGCAACTGCATGTAACTTCGCACCACAGAATCTCAGTTCGAGTCAAGATTTGATGTGTATCCGAGAGGCAAAGAGACTTTTATAAGCGACAGAGCACATAACTACATGAAGTTGTAATCCGAGTTCACTTTTTGTCCAGTTTTTCTCAGTAACTCTCAAACTCAAAAAGATATTCCCACATGGTGACCCCACAGCTTCTCCACTTTGTAAATGCAATTTGTGATTCATATTTACCCTGTAAGCATCACCTCGGATTCATGCAAGATTCAGAAGGCAAGGAACAACCAGTTTTGGTTACAATTGTCGCCACTAATGATTTTATTGGACAATTGGAAGAACACAATGAGTAAACTAAACCATACACTCTTCATGTACAAATGGACGAAATTTCTGTCAGGTGGTAAGAAAGGCACCTTAGCTCGTTTTCTGTTCATATTATTTACAATTTAAAAGCAATTCAAAACGGATTCTACAAGGACATTAGCACTGAATAATAAATATAACAACCTCATTTAAAGAAAAACTTTCAGGATTGGATTCATGGTTTCTTTTTACAAGCTAAATGTACAGGAATGTAGGTACAATGTGCCTCTTCAACAATGCAAATCACAGAGAATCTAGTGTACTCTTAGTATTTCAAATGTCGAAGTATATACACTTTTTTATCTTTTAATTTGCCAATGTTTCCCGATAGATTTTAGATGGGCTTTTCTGACAAGACCACTGAATCTGCTGTTAAAAATACAATCAGGAAAATAATCCAATAATCGTGCAATCAAGAATATAATCCAACACACAAGAGCATGGATTACCAGGTCTCTGAGCCCTTGAGTATAATCTTTGGGTGATGAGTGTACTGGGTCCCGTGGCAAATCCGGGGGGGGGGGCACAGCAGGGGATAAGCTGCCCCAAAGGAGACTGTTGACATTTTTTTCATTAAAAGGAATTAATAGCATCATTATTTTAGAAACGGTACTACCACCTGTCATTGGATTCTTTTAAAAGTAAAAGAAATGGACAGTAAAGTTTTTTAAGGAAAGTTTCCATTTTGCGTCTGGACCCAGGACCTGGATACACCACTCGGTTGAAATCATAGCTAGTTGGAAGACGCAATTTGCAAAACCCAGGATTCATCTTCCCTGACACATGCCATCGGAAGCACTGTCTGTACTCTCAGCAACATATCTTAACCCAGGATTCAATAAATCTATGCATTACGTCCTACAAAGGCAGAAGACAGTGACAGAAGAAAGAATGGAGTGCATGGTTGTTTGATATCTAGAGCAAAAGAATTTCTCAGATGTATGTCTTCTGACAAGTTTTGGGATAACTGTTAGTGCCAGAAAGGAATGTTGGCACATAACAATCAACCTTGTTCAGTTTGTTATTGTCGTCAGCAACCATTCACATTGAGCAGGCACTTCATTTCGCCTCACATAAACCCAGGAATCAATTAGCATCAAGAAATAAATTTAAGCCGTTATGATAATGCTAAACAGCACTCTCCTGGGCAGAGTTTGAGGGGCGGGGAACAATGGGAGGGATTGGCTCAGTGGCATGCAAGGGGCGCAGAATGGGCGACTGGGATGACAGGATGTGTTCAACAGTCAGCTTCTGGCAGCCATGGCTGTCTGGTCCCCCAATGGGCCGTAGGGAGCGCAACTTGGCCGACGTGACTGCCTCGCCATGACGGAGATGGAGCTTGGGGCCACGCTTGATGCGATTGCCCTCTTTGACCACAACACCAGGGGACAACTCCATGGACTCAATCTGCAGGATGAGATAAAGTCACTGAGAGTCTCCAACACCTGAATAGTTCAGCCTATCATGAGGCAGTACATAACAGATTAAGAAAAACAAAGTGGCAACAAATTAATGATGAGAAGTGATCCGGCAGATAGAGATAAAAGTATAAATTTTAATGTTGGCATCAACAGGTTCTGTTCAGCAACATTTGTTGACTAATGCAAATGAAGAAGTTTTCAGGTAACTTACAAGAGGTGGAGGTAGCGGTGTTATACCTCCACTGACTGTGTTACTCTCAAATGCTGTCTTCATCTGTATTGTCATGGTATTACTGCTTCCAACAGTCATAGCACTGGCCATGACCTGACCACCTCTCTTAGAGCTTTGCCCTGCAAAATTGAAGAACAAAACAATTCTTGATTTCTGCAACTGTTGAAAGATGCCTTAAAATTGCCATCCATCGTCTGAATGAATACTGCTTTCTCAACACACCCAAATTTTCTTTTATGTAGGAAACAACTGGCACATACTTTTCACTTGGGAGGGGATGTAAAGTAAAAGTGACTGACCTCGCCGAGGAATTTGAAAGATCAAGAAAAGTTTGGAACTGAGTAATTATGACTAAATATAAAAATCCAAATCTTGCCAACCATTGCTGACAGATTCTGTTGGTTCATTGTTGTTCTTGGCTGTGTAACCACTGGTCTTTGTAACTTTATCAGTTCCCGAGATGTAGCGCCCTGTCCTCATTGCGATTAGTCTGGCGTGGGCTGCTTCAACCGCTGGATCCACAATAGCAAACTTGGTTCTTACTCTAGACGGGAGAATTAATAAATAGGAAGTAAGTGAAGGTTAGCGATCATCAAGCTGCAATTTTGTGGCCAAAATAGCTCAACTTTGCACCATTTTCCTCCCTTTTTCAGTCACACCATTTTCTCGAAACTGTAAGATCTGGAGATAGGATTACTGTACCTGTGTGAGGGTAATCTCTCTGGGTCTAATTTGATGACAGAGACTACGTTGCCTTTCTCATCATAAGTCACATCCTTGCTTCCTGGGGGCCGACCTGCTTGAACCTAATGTAAGCACGACACAAGTGCATATGAGTGAAACTAACTACAGTGAAGGTTGCTAATACTCCAGTTTATTTTGGAAAAAGTCTTTCTGATCTGAATAAATTTTTAATTGCTAAAGAAACAAGCAGACTGAAGTATCCATAACAAGAAGTTGTGCATGAACACCATGTTATGTTCAAAATTGGTAGTTTATATGTCTGTGTGGAACACCTGTAAAATGAAACAAGTCAAGCTTGCAAGAACAAGTAAATATCAATAATAGCTTTTCTCCAGCATTAAAGTGATAGCCACATCCACTTCATGGTGCACAGTATTTTCCATAACGTATCAGATATAATCTGCAAATCAGGGCTCTTGCCAGAAATCTGTACCAAAAAAATAAAACATTCTTTCCCCAAATTAAGGTGACAGGTGGAAACTCGTCAATCAACTTACCTTCAGTATGGAATGGCATGAGGAAGGCATGTGTTCAAAGATGTCTTTTTTCTCTGGTGTTGAATCTCTTGCTCTTTGTTCCGCCAGATCAATTTCTTTATCTGTTTCATCAAGTGTCTTTGTGATACCCCGTAGACCAGCTGACTTCAAGGGACCTCTGTATGGCTTGTACTTAAACTTGTGTGGTTTCACATGGACAGGCTGGTGGGATATTGTGGACAGATTTTGTAAATCAGGAAACTGTCTTGTTCTTTGCAAGATTACATTTTACAAATGTGCAACATGAAACATCAATGGTTCAAGGATACACCTTAAAATGCTAATATCAACACGACTGAAAGAGATCTATGGTCTTCAAAGTTCTGCACATACATGCACCCAATTAACCCTTAAACTGTTACAGCAACAGAAAACAGAACAATGGCATTCAGTTTTGTTCAGGTTCTGTTTGGGGTGTAATGGGAAGAAAGTAGCCTAAATCCTAATTCCTTACCCTACAACCTGTGACTGCCTCAGGATTTTCAATTTTGCTACATGCATTTCTATCAGTATTTGGTGATCATCAACCTTTATTACCCAAAGGAAGTAAATCTGAAAGGTGAACTCTCAGGTGCTGTGGAACCTGACATGAAATCATTTATTTCCCCCAAATCTCATGAAATAGTCAAGCCTTCGGTGATAATGGCCTGGGTAGAAAGTATGGAGGACGAAAAGTGGCCATCTGCTTTTCTGCCTTAAGCTTCCAAGGGCTGTGAACGGGGTCGTGAACCTCAGGTTGCACCATTTCCTTTCCTGGGGATTGAAGACGTACGGTATAAACCAATAGTCACAGTCCACCCTATCTTTTGTAATGAAAGATTCACATGTTTTCTTTGGCCCAAGCAAGCTTGTGTCTTTTGTAGCTGTAAAACTGTATTTCCTGTGAGATGCTGTTTTCTTAGTGTCACAGGGACACTGATACTGCCGTAAGGGATTGGCCCGCAGAAAGCATTGGATTCTATGTCTTCACGCCCCCAGAACGGAAATGGTCGTAACCTACAGGTTCATGACCCCATTCATGGCCCCATTGAGAATAGAAAAACAGATGGCCACTTTTCGGCTGTCATCAAAAAGAGGAAAAGTAAAACTACTTTTGTAGCAGCAGAAAAGGTGCATTACAACAAAATGGTCATTCTGCTTTTGAGGTAGCAGAAAAGTAGAAAAGTCAAAAACTGCACGTTACAAAGACGTAAAATCTGCTTTTCTAGTATTCTATATAACAGCAAAAAAGCAGATGGCCACTTTTCGTCCTCCATATAGAAAGGTATGTAACTCCCTGAGTGACCTATTAAACGGCAACTCTCATCAGTGATCGAGTGACATGAGGTAACACAGTTGCCCTGACAGTGACACCAACATTTTGCATGAACGGAGCACTGGAGGTCAACATGTATTTCTTCATTTTCAGAAGGAACATGTACACAGACTCACATTAAAGAAAGTAGCGGTAAACTGGAGGAGAAAACAAACACCAAGAATGACAATTCAAATTACAATACAAATTTTTAACTCTAATATATACATGTACACTGTACATTGTAAGTGACATGATACCTAGTCCATTCAGTGCATTATTTATGAAAACTTGGCATCTTGAAATTCGCAGGCCATCCTGGTGGTATCCAAGACAAATCCAGAGAAGTACATGTAAAAGATCTTGGAATGTGCCGTAGCTCCTGAAACCTGTCACACTTTTCCTAACAAAATCTTGCAATTTTGAGTAGTCTACTTGTAGGTTAGCAATGTTAAAGTTTTGTTAACATTCAGCGACAAAACAGTCTAACTGCCATCTTCAGCCTCATTGTACCCTCTACAGTTCTGTGATCAGCAAAAAATGCTACTTCTGTGTCTCCCAGAAAAATTTGAATGTACATTTAACAACTTCTTACTTTAACACGCTTTTTATTAGTATTAACATATATCCCGGTACATGTATTCCTTTGTGTATCTAAACGTTCTTTTCTTTTACCGTAGCTCAAGCCAAGGCTGGGGTATTGGCCTTTTTTTTTTTGTAATCCCACTTTGAGTGAAACATTCAATAAACACATCTACAGTATCAGTGGGTGATGATATTGTCTCAATGCAATAACACAAATCCACTGTCTCAATTTATGGCCGTGCCATGATCCCAAAATACAAATGCATAACTATATGGCTGGGGCTAAGAATTTATTCATGTATATTACAGCACTGAATGTTTTATGTTTTACTCAGACATAAGGTGAATATGTATATTTTAAGTCAAAAAATACCACTCAGTAATGCCCCATTCATGGGAAGCCCCTCTACCCATTTCAAAAGGAAAAAAAGTTCTGCATCCGATTACATGCCTCTCAAAACTAGGATTGTAGGTTGGAAAACTTATTTTGTTACCAATTACCTGTGCTGAATGAATGAGGTATTCAATTACATGTACATACACTGTACATGTACATGTACAAAGGGGTCGACATTAGGCGGCCAGGACAGCGCTTTTGCATCGGACAAACCATAATTAGTGCCTAGTAACCCATAATAAAGCAAAAGGTTGGCCGCTGAATTTAGTGCCAGGCTGTTATTGATCCTCTGAGGTGATGACACATTTTATTCCAAAGATATCACCAAAATATTTACCATGGTGGGGTAGGTTTGACAACCTTTTGTCATATTAAAACACCTGCTTCCTACTTATATTTGCAATATTTGAAAAGAAACTTCTCTTATTTTGATGACTGCCCTTTGCGATTCACTGTCACAGTGGTGAAAACGTGTGCAAAATAAAGCTCAATCCATTAAACAAAGCTGCATTGGTTCCCGCCGCGCCACACCCATGTCAAAGAATGTGTGATGGAAATGTACCTGTTATGCCCCAACTATAGCGTCTGTCCCAACTATAGTTGGCATAGTCCCAACTGTAGTGCTGCAGTCAGGCTGGCCCAACTATTGTTGACCAATTTCTACAGAAATTTTCTCAACCTTATCCAAGTTTTTGCATCTTACACTTGACACAATTCATCTAAAATATGGCACTCCATCTACGACATGACACTGTAAACAATGAATATGACTTTGGCACACGCTGGACACATGCACACTGGACCTCTGTGCTCATTCTTAACTCCATGGGTTGCGTGCGCCTTCCTTCGCTAGCCCCTGGTCGTATGGAATTCAAAAATGACACTGACTGGCTATTCAGAATGAATATACAATAAATGTAAAGTGAATCGCACGCGTGTTTCAAAAGCTACACGCCACGTGCCACTGTATTCTCCTGCACGCGTACGCGTCTTCCATGCATAAATCTGCATCGCACATAAACACACTGACCAAATACACATGTACATGTAGGCCTAAGGCATCATTCGTATCGGTTGACAATAGGAAACAGCCATCCGACGATGGATAAAAAAATGGACTGATAACCATCCTACTACTTTTCCTTGTGGGGATCGGTTAGCTTATAGGATGGAATGAAGGGGGGGGGGTGGATTTATGGACTACCGTAAAATTTCAAACCAAAAATGTTCATTTGCATACGAGACTGCCTCATTGCACTGTTCTTCATGTATGTTAGATTTTTAGAAGTGATGGGTCAATTTTTGGCAGGATATTTCTCTTTCAGGTCAGGTGAGTTTTCAGTTTCTATAAATTGATATACTTGCAAAGGGCCCACCGCACATGTCTTATGATCATGATCACAGCTAACACCGTGCCCTCGTTGTGAGATACTTGTATTCATCATGTACACTCTGTTTATACTGTGGCCTTAAAGAGTTCAACGATATATCTTGGGACTGTGGTGCCTCATAAGCAAGTATTCTTTAGCATTAAATTTATTATTTTTGTTGTTTGTTGACGTAAATATCTGTCCAGTGCGTCTTTGCTTGTGGGCCCGCATTTAAATTTTAAAAAATAATGTAGGGTGCCTTCTGATTCATTTTAGTTACGACACTGATGTAACCACAACCCCAGCCAACCGTAACATCGCAACCCCTACAGCCCCTTTGCTGAGTTGGATTTTTTTTGAGAAGTGACCGAACGAACAAATATCACAAATTCTAAAATCTTTGCACATTATTTTTCGTATCCAAGGGTTCTAGAAGCACGCCACCAGGGGTCAACTTTTCAGGCTCTATTGAAATTTATCATGCACTTTGGTTCCACACAGGTACCACTTATGATTTCTGGGAATATTGAAAGCTTCCAAAAACAGAAATTTATATCCACAAATTGCAATTTATTTTTCTTTCGTGCACATCACCTGTTTTAATGTGTCTGGCTTGCACATGATCAGAGTGTACATGTATGTGAAGCTTTACATGTATATACGTGAACTTGCGCAATACTATAACATATTTCCAGTAGACTGTATATTTCATTCATGGAAATATGCATAATCTTTCAATAATACAAGTTTATTTTCCCTATCTTGCTGTTTTTATCTCGTGCTACCATGTCACTGAAAATAACCTAATATTGATACCAATCAATTGCACATACATGTATCTGCAAGCCATATGAACATGCACCGGTATATGTATTAATAACCCCATAACCTAGCACATTAAGGGAAAAGGAAGATCTCATGTTCCAAAATATTTTCGGAAATTATTCAGTGGAAATTGTTGAACTACATGTATGCACAGCATAATTTGATTCTGATTTGTTTTCAATATCACATTACATTGACATGTAGTTCCCTCCTGCACTTGAATCTCTGACCTAAATCAATTAGAATGACAGGCTAGTGGCAACACAGCAAAACATATCATAGAAAAAGTCACTGAGGAATACTGGTGGAGAACAAAGGAAATAGGGTCCTTATAAACTAATGCAAGCCACACATGGGATATCCATCAATAGTGACTTGTATTGAGTGGGATAACGGTGTGGGTGTCGCTCCACTAAAAACCACACTGCCTTGGGAGAAGTGCATTGTATCAGTAGAGCAGGAAGGCATTTATCGGTTAGGATTGGCCACTTGAGAACACTTCACCTGATAGCCAACCCATAATAAATGTATCGGATCAGACCGTTCTGTCAGACACCTACAGTATCGGATATGAATTTTGAAATGGTGCCTAATTTAATTATCCCAATTAGTAGGATATTTAAATTATACAATACCAGGGTTACATCACACAAGGCATGGTGGGAACCAACGTGGTGCAGCAATATCGTACCCATGGGAACGAGGCTGTTCTGTGCTGTACTTGGGCCGGACCAACTATGGCACTCTAGTTGGGACTGGCCCAGCTATAGTTGGGATGGTCCCAACTATACAAGGTGTCCCAGAAAAAAGGAAACCCTGAGGAAAGGGGTTAATATACCCAAACCATGAGATATGATTATAATGCATAAGGATCTCTGAAAAGTAGAAGCAGGATTCTTTCTAATGATACCTTAATGGTATCTGTCATGCATGAATGAACACAATTGTCTTGAAAATGGGGCATCTGAACTCAGTTGTAACACTTTGGATAAACCAATGAATGAGGTTGTCCTCCGTCATACTTGTCCTGGATAAGATATCAGGGCCACACCAATTATTTACACATTACGTAATTCACAGTAAATTATGCACCGACACCTTCCGCGTGTCCAAGTCCACTCCTCCTGTAACTGGTTCCCCTAGGCTGTTCGACAAGTTGCTGTCGAACTGTAGTAACGTTTTCAGGAGTTTGCACTGTGCGCCTCCTTCCCGAATGACCCCTATTCAAATTAAGGCTCGTCCCATGTTCTCGGTATTTGCGCACATTTTCCCAGATGGTCGATTTTGCCGGTGGATCCCTATCAGGGAAGGCTTCCCTAAATGCAGCTTGGATGGCTTGAAAGCTCTTGTTTTCAAGGAATTTCGTCACGACAAACACTTTTACTCTTTGGTAAGTTGCACCATGTTGCAGACTTGCTGTCCTGCTTCAAACACTTTTCAACACCGCACTGGCCTATGGTACCTCAAGGCAAGTCAAAACCAGACTCCATAACTTGAAGGTGACAAAAGGCAATCTCCCCTCATTAACATGACCTTTTGTTGTCACTTTCAACCAGGACAAGCACGGCAAAGGGACAACCTCATTCACTGGTTTATCCAAAGTGTTACAACTGAGTTTGGGTGCCTCATTTTCAAGACAATGGTGTTCAGTCATGCATGGCAGAAGGGATACCATCAAGGTATCATTAGAAAGAATACTGCTTCTACTTTTCAGAGATCCTTATGCATTATTATAATCATATCTCATGGTTTGGGCATATTAACCCCTTTCCTCAGGGTTTGATTTTTTCTGGGACACCCTGTACATGTAGTTGGGACTGATGTTACAGTTGAGGCGTAACACATTACGNTGCACAAGGCATGGTGGGAACCACCATGGTGCAGCAATATCGTACCCATGGGAACGAGGCTGTTCTGTGCTGTACTTGGGCGGGCCTAACTATAGCACTCTAGTTGGGACTGGCCCAACTATACTGTTGGGATGGTCCCAACTATACAGGGTGTCCCGGATAAAAACCAAACCCTCAGGAAAGGAGTTGATATGCCCAAACCATGAGATATGATTATAATGTATAAGGATCTCCGAAAAGTAGAAGCAGCATTCCTTCTAATGATACCTTGATGGTATCCCACCTGCCATGCATGACTGAATACCATTGTCTTGAAAATGGGGCAGCTGAACTCAGTTGTAACACTTTGGATAAACAAATGAATGAGGTTGTCCTCTGTCATGCTTGTCCTGGATAAGATGTCAGGGGCACACAGATTATTTACACATTACTTAATTCACAGTAAATTATGCACCGACACCTTCCATGTGTCCAAGTCCATTCCTCCTGCAACTGGTTCCCCTGACTGGTCGACAAGTTGCTGTCGAACTGCAGCAACGTTTTCAGGAGTTTGCACTGTGAGTGCGCCTCTTTCCCAAATGACCCTTATTCAAATTAAGGCTTGTCCCATGTTCTTGGTATTTGTGCACATTTTCCTGGATGGTCGACTTTATCGGTGGATCCCTATCAGAGAAGGCTTCCCTAAATGCACCTTGGGTGGCTTGAAAACTCGTTTTCAAGAAATTTCGTCACCACAAACACTCTTTGCTCTTTGGTAAGTTGCACTTGCTGTCCTGCTTTGAACACTTTTCAACACTTTTCAACACGGCACTGGCCTACCTCGGGGCAAGTCAACACATTTAAACCAGATTATCGCATAACTTGAAAGTGACAAAAGGCAATTTTCCCTTTTGTTGTCACTTTCAACCAGGACAACCATGACGGAGGACAACCTCATTCGCATAACATACCAACCAGTCTATACGTCCTGGTCGATTACGCTACATCGGCCGTATATGCATGCAACCCTACATCTGCAAAAACATTGATGCTGCAGAGGATTTCTGCAAGTTAATTCACAGAACTTTGTCTTTTGTCTATGTATGTATTTTCTGTGTTCAGGAGTTTAATTTGAGGTGATTTTGCTCATACTTGAAGTGAGCGTGTTTCCACAAAATATCATGCCGCGGCACAAGGTTTATTGCCTGCCCGTTGGATGTATCATGGACGCTTACCGCGTGATACACGGACATCATCGCCAGTTTGCCGTCGCGATTGCCCGACTAGCATTGTGTGAATTGTCCATAATTGTTTTGAATTATCTACCATAGATGTATTTTTACAAGGATTAAGATGGGTTTTATCACTTTTTTAATCAAGTTTTTGAAGTTATCCTCCCCATTCATGCCATTCAATCAGCACAGGAAAATTGACCCCAAAATATCCGACCTACTGACCGTATTATAGAGAGGCATATAATCCAATTTTGAAAGCAGAACTTTTTTTTAGCCTAATTTGACTTTACCTAAAGTAACTCCCAAGTTCAGCGAAACAGCTCCCAAAACCCCTGAAATTTGAAAGGCCAGGAGCTGTTTTTAGCTTCTGGGCAAAAAAGCTTAATGTCGACCCCCGTACACCTATGGGAATCTCGGCCTTCAGACTGAACCTTTCGTGCAAAAAAAGCTATTGCAAAATGCCACAAAAAATGATAAAAACTTGCCTAAATTAATGTCAAAATATCTATGATTCACACCACTACAGTGTATGTACAAAGCAAGTCAGGTAATCATGATGAGAACTTGCGAACAATGTCTGTACATCGCGTGATAAGCATGTCTGATGCATCTAGAGGGGTGAATGATAAATTTTTCGCTACAGTAAGAAATTTTATATAGAAACATGCTTGCTTCAAACACAAGCAATACTTGTACAACCTAAAATTAGATTCATGAACACAGAAAATACAAACATAGACAACCGATCAAGTTCTGTGAATTAACTTGCACATGTAGAAATCTTCTAGCTACAGCAATCTGTATTGATGTGCAGCTGTCGAGTTGCATGCATTTAAATGTACATGCATATACGGTGAAGTGTAACAATTTAGCCGGGATGTCCATGCATAGACAGGTTGCTGCATTTCCATCATGCCTTCTTCGGCAATGGCATGCCATGGCAGAAACAAGAGGAGCATGGCTTCAGTGTATAATTACTGCACACATGTTTTCACCACAGCATTAGTGAAATGCAAAGGGAAGTTGTCAAAATAACTGCAGTGTCTTTCAAAGATGTAAATAGGTAATTGGACATGGAAACAGTTGTTGAGAGGTGTTTTGTAAAGACAAAAAATAGAAAGCATTTTCTTTTTAATTTTTGAAATTTTTCAAAATTTGTTTTCCAACTTGGTAATATAAGTTTTAGGGTCATGACAAAACATTAGGGTCAGTCACAGAACTGGAAGTAGGACTTTTGTTTTGGTCTAAGGTCTGAATTAAAATGAATCTGTGGCTATACAAAGGTCCAATCACCATCAAGTGTGTCATGATAATTACTACAAAATCAAGCCACTCCTGCATCACTGTCCTTTTTACCTTCTCAGACTCTGTCATGGTCTCTTCTTTCTCTCGAGTCTCCTCAACTTCCTCCTCCTTAATCTCTGCCCGCCTCACCACAGGTGCATATGTGTCATCAGCTTCAACGATAGTCCCCGTCTCATTAATGGTTGTGGGCAGATCCTCTAGAATCTCTGGCTCTGAAAGTCGACTGACAGATGTCACATCGGTGTCTGGTTCGGATGCCGGTGGAGAAAGTGGAGGTTGTGGCTGTCTGGGCACTGATCCTTGTGCCCAGGCATCTGGAACAGATGGCTGAGGCTCTGAAGCATTGCAAGAGAAAGCAAGGTTCAAACTTCACATTTGTAATGAAAAGTACATAGGTGATAAGGAGTGTCTTTATATAAATTCCAAGTTTAAAATATTGAAGGTGGCACAGCTGAGTTCAGGATAACATTGGTTTTAGTTTGACTAAGATAAAGATTTAAAGTGAAGGAAGTACCACTGAAAGATGTCTATCAGACTTTTGAGGTGTGGACAAAAATTAGAAAACAAAAACAAAAACAAAAATCTTGCAACATGGCCTTCACGCAGCTTGCGGAAAATCCAGTTACTCAGATGAAAACCATAATACCAAGCATTGCTGAAAATGATACGGAACGAGTCAACTGTGCTGTTCAACAAATCTGTTAAGAGTGGTTGAAAGCAGAGATTTCAAATTTGTGGTACAGGTTGTAATGAGAATGGGTACCCTTGAAATTATGTTTTTTCACACTTCTGTTCATGAGTGTGGAAAAACCACACTACCAACAGTGCTGTTCCTACATCCAGGTCTACTTTTCAACCTGATTTAGCGACTGTATGTAAAACATTTATCAACAGTTTGACATTTTATAAAGAAAACGATGCCACACCTTCCTCTTCTTGCCAGGTGAAATTCTCTTCTGGTTTTTCTTCTCCTTCATCACGAGCGAGGAATTGCCACTGAGTAAAGACAAACCATGTCCTCCATTATCAACCAAGTATTACATGTACATGTATTTTAACCTGCAAGTGGGTTGTATGACACTTAAAAATCACAGGATAACTACAGTCATCCTTTCTTTTACCTCAATTATCTGGAGAATGGCATCTCTTGCTTGTGTCACTGTGTAGGGATAAAGCTGCCTCTGTATATAGTTTTCATGGATGACATGCAAAGCAGAATTTACAATGTCACCCACAATATCAACTATGAAGTCCTCTCCATCCTCTTTGTCCAACAATGAACCCCTTCACAGGAAAAAAGAGAAAATATCAATGGGCAGACAATAATCTGAATTGCAAACGACGAAATTAGATGCAACACACCAATAACTGACAATCTTGTAACCAAGTAGGAAGGCCTAACGTTTCAATCCTAGCAGAATTTTTCTCAAAGTCATTTTGCCTTTGAGAAAGATTCTGCCCTCCGACTTTTGTGATTTGTATGTTCAGAGATGTTAGGTCACTGTACCCAGCAAGCAGTAAGCAGCAGTTTTGTATCATATACATATACATGTATGTGTTCAAGTTTACAACAGACGGAATCTTCCTCATAATATTAACTAAGGTAAAAGTAATTCCCGAGATGCTTAATTAGCCTGTGGCTTATTAACCGTTGGTTAAAGGGAAGCTGCAATCAATTTGTTTTAAAATCAACCTTCAAAATGCACTTTTAGATCACAGTTAACCTTACTTTCAATTTTTGTTTCACTATTCTAAAGGGTGTTTTGTTGCCTTCTGGGCTTTTATATTAAGCACTTCCATATTGCAAAACTACATTTGTATGATATTATCTCAGGAAGACAGCATCAATGTTATATTATTAGGCCTGTGCCAGATACCCGGGCACCGACCCGTCGACATCAAAACCCTGGTTCTATTTTTTCAGGCCGGGTACCCGTAAAAAAAAAAACAAACATGTAAATAAATTAGGAACAAAAATACCTGTATAAAATGTCTGTGAAATTTAATACTGAAGGGCTGGCATGCATCAAACATCACTTGTCAAAGTACTTTATACAGTTACATGTACATCTTGACAACTAGAACCTCAGGGGAATGGAGTAATCCTAAAAGTTTCTTTATCAAAATAAACCACTTTATTGTGGTACCTTTGTGTGGCAAAACTTTTGTATCACTTGGTTTTGTTTATAACGTGAAGCACTCCACAAAGTCCTGTTTTTTGACTTGGGTTCCCTATGTGTGGTCACATGACTTTTCCTTTTACGGTCACCATGATCACATGGCCACTGCAGTGTCAGCGATTGGCCTGCCTGAAGGGGACTATAATTGGGCCTGTGGTGGCAATCAGGTTAGCTTGAGTAGCTTGAGAGCCAGGAATTGTTGCAGTTTCAGGTAAGGTTGGTTTATGCAGCGTGCATACAACTGGTCCCCGTGAGAAAAGAAATGCACTTGGCAGTGATGACTCTTAACCCTAGACTTACGACACTTTCAAGGCCGTATGAAGCATTTACACGTAGGTGGCATTTTTTTAAGCAGAAACTTTAAAACAAGTGGATACGGTGGTGTTGGCATTGTTGGAGTTATGGAGGTATTTTCATACATAAAAGCCTTTTAACCTGTGACGTACGTGTACATAGCACTGATCTGGTCCGCACGTGACACGACCAGAGCTCACCATTTGTGCACATGTCATTTCCTTTGCACGGTAGCTGGTGCGTACACGTACATGTACATGTAGGTGGTTTGCAGCTCTGTGATCTGTTCTGATGTTCCTCATCAAAAAGTTTGTTTTTCTGTTTCATAGACTTTAAATACAAAAATATTTTGCAAATTGAAGATAACAATCTTGTTTGATAAAAAGGTAGGAGAGATTTACCCTGACATGCAGAAAATGTGCTGCTTGCTTCTTGTGTATGAAAAAGAACCCTGTTTTACGCACATGGTCCACCGAGGTTGCCACAATGCTATTTGTTATTGAGTGTTCTTTTTTACGAGTACCCGGGTACCTGATGTTGACAAAAAATGGGTATCCAGTTCCAAAAATACCAGTAAATGCACACCCCTGTATATAGCCTGTACACAAAAAGTGCTGCAATTTTGCAGATTTAGCAGGACAACATTTTCTCCTCTTTGCTGATTCATTATTGCTTATGCGCATAGCAATGCAAGCTGCAATCCCTTTCTCAGAATTGTTTTCAGTATTAAAGTAAACTCTGGGTTCACAATCTGAACAGAAGAGCCTACGCACGAAACAATGTCTTGCCCAGTTGTCTGAGAGAGCCTGGATAATTCTAAAGTTTTAAAAACTGCACTTTTAAATGCAATAACCCAGGGCTTGAAATTAACGGGCACAGGTAGCTAATGCGCCCGTTTGTCTCAGAAATGTGCCCGTAAATCATAATGACGGGCAAAAATACTTACGCCGATTTGATTCCATGTACCTGAACATTTTTACTGTTTGTTTCTACTTTCCTCTTGAAAAATACCTGAGCTTTGCTGTTATGACTGCACTTTGGATTGGCCATGTCATGGAACCATAACACATATAGTACAATTTTGTTTACGATGTCATGTTATATCACCGAGCGCACGCCACAGTCTCGCATGCGATGCATGCACACACGTGAACTCACACACACACATACCCGCGGCCAACCAGTGGCACGATTGCGCTGAATGGTCTGCACATTGGCCGTGTCTGAATCGATTTCACTCACCAGTCTGTCTCAGAAAATCTTCCAGGGATGACATCTGTGTTGACTGGTGGTACTGGAACCGATGTACTGCCACCACGATCCTTATCTTTATCTTTGCTTTTATCTGCACGGGATTTAGACACTGTTGCCCGAGACATTGTCACTTGTCCCTTGGAAGTTTGAGATTGAAGTTTGTCGTTTCAAACAACTGACCTGTACGAAATGTCAAATTGAAGCACAAAAAATAAATACATGTACAGTAGATACACGTACCCTGTACAAAAAAGGTTAATTTCTTTTTAATTCTGCCTACTTTTATTGTGTTCGTAAAACTACCTAGGGGAAAGAATGCTGCATACTGCCTCCACTTTTTTCATCATATAACATCTCAATAAACATGCATACAAGTACATACATGTAAAGGTCAGTCATTCAAGCAATGCAAAAAAGACATAACTTTGGAACTGAAAAAATACAGGTATCTGTGTCCACTGCATGCATTCTCTAAAAGCTACTGCTGAAAAACTGTATTATTCACAGCTTTTCAGTATTTCTCCGCAAAAGGCACTTCATAACTCAACACGAGTTACATGTACCAATCACTTGCCCTGCCATAGATCTTCTCAAAAATGTACATGTGTGAATGGGATACTGCAGTAAAAACTTTCCCTGTTGAGTGACATGTCTGGCCAGTGCATTTGCAAGTATGGGCTTGGAACTGACCAATGGATAACAGTGGCTTTTCCTAATGTCCAAGTGTAGCATTTTTGCCACTTCGCCCATTTGCCTCTTTGCCTACATGCCAATATTTTGTGTGGCAATAATGCTAGCCCTAATTCCATTATCAAAGTAGGCCAACGATTAACTGATATCTCCGCATCTTTTTAACAGGCCCCAATTTCACGGGGCTGCTTACCGCAAGCGAAAAAATTGGCACTTACCGTAACAGAAAATTCTGTACTTACGGCCAAGGTACAGTAATTCACGGCTTAGCGAGGAATTTTGGCCTTAACACATGCATGCGTACATCCCGTAACTAAGGATTCTGTGCTTAAAAGGTTAGCACAGAATTTTTCTGCTAGCCTGGTCAGCGCAGAATGGAGATCGTAAGTGTGGAATTCTGCGGTAAGCAGCACCATGAAATTAAGTCCAGGTTTATTGCATGCAATTTTTGGATACAATATTCTATAGAATTCAAGTTCATGAAAGAGCTTTTTCCCCCCAAATGTCGCCCACTGTTGTTAGCCAAATTGTATTTTAGGCATTATATTGCTATCGAAATGCGTTTCTGTTAACTTAGAACTTGATTTGGGTGTGTTGACGGTGTGTTGACGTTACTATCATGTGTTGACGTTGTGTTGACGTTAATTAGTACGACCGCGTGGTGACAATGGTATAGGCCTAGGCCCTAATTCCAGAAATTAAGGGTCCAAAAGTGTGACATTTTCGTTTCACTAGTGTTAAATCTGACCTTTCAGGCTTTATTTGACATGAAAATGTCACTGCAATTAATTTCAAACCATTAATATTGTTTGACATGTAATTTGCATTTTAAATTCATCACTCTTGGAAATTAGAAAATGTGAACTTACAAATTCACAGGCCCTAGGCCTACATCATACATGTACGTCAGATGTGACAGGGACCCGATAAAAATGGACCCCTAATTTCTGGAATTAATCACAACGTGATGAACGTGGTCTTCAGCTAGTCCGAGTAACTTGGACCCTAAAATCGCCTTTTTTTTAAATGTCCAAATGTTTAAAAAAGACGATTTAAGAGTCCAAGTTAGGACTCGGATTAGTCTTCAGCATGTTCAGGGGCGGGCATGCAGGGCATCGTAGATTTTAGCCTAGGGCCTACTTTAAAATCTTACTCCGATACTCGATCGAGGAAGCTGGACAAAATCATCTTGGATCTAAACTACAGTTTGAAAACTTACAATGCAGTTTACGTTTTGGATGGGCTACATCTTCAGAAGCTCAAGCAGTACAATTTTTTAGAGTGGACATGGCAGACATGCACCGCACATGACAAACCATAGATTTTTTATTGTTTCACTTAACTTTCAGTCTCCATAGAGAGTTGTGTACATACCATGTACACTTATGTATGTACTGTACGTACGGTACCGTACCGTACGCATTAAACGAGGTAATGATTCAACATGGCGGTAGCGTTGCCTTAGAAACCGCGCATGGGCAGAAGGCAGTCGCGTATACAGTACGTTTTTATTGGTCACATATCTGCGAATGAACCCGACGTCATAAAATTGTTATGCTGACATTTCAAAACGTCAAAATGGAGACAGCGACATCGCGAGTTCGGCGTTTTCCATCTGTCCATTGTTTTTTGTAAGTCTTAAACTGAGGAATGTAGTGGTAGGCCTACTGTTATTGTGCAAGACTTTTTGATGATATGAATAGAATAACAAAGGAGTTCTATCAGACGTTACTTTTTACATCACAGTACATGTACATCATGTAAAAATGCTACGCTATTATGACCAAATTCGGCGAATGAACATGCCGTGTCCAGTGTCCGTTTACCGTGGGTAGTGCACAAGCTCAACACACACAAGCATGACAAGTAGCGTCAAGAAAGCGTCAGCAACTTGAAAGTACCCGCTACAGATTTAAGTGGTTTTATCATATTTTAGAGACTGTAAGACCTGTCACTGTGTAAAAGAAACATCGAATTCGCTTCCAGATTCACGCAGAAACATTAGAAAAACTATTTTTTGGGCGATTTTTCAGCATCTTTCTTGAGCTGTTTAGGAAATATTCGTCCCAAGGGGGGGTCCTGACAACTCAACTGTTTGCCAACTCAACTTCGCATGCTTCGGACAACTCGACCGTAAAGACAACTGGACTGTCCGTGCGTGAAAAGGAGAGACAAGTCAATCGTCGGTTGAGACTAGACAAGTCGTCTGTTGAGATCATACATGTGTAGATGACTTGTCCGCTCCGCTAAGTCATTTGTTGAGATGGGTAAAAGTTATATTTGGAGGAAATAATGGAATTTCACATTTATATACATGTACTGTAGGCCCGGAAATTGGCAGATTAGTGGACCAAGCGGGCCCAGACTGTGAGTACCAGAGAGGGGAGGCTGCCATGCAGCAGCACCGCCATTTGTCAGCCCTGTGAAACCTGTGCCACTAGTCAGAATCCATCATATAGCGCAGCGGAATTGTCCGAAATGCAATGTCCATGGGACACACACATGTACACATACACAGTGTCAAAAGCAAGGAATCTTGTTGGACCCGCCCTGACATACCCTCTTATTTGAATTTTATTAGGGGCCTATGTGGAACCATCTCAACAGTCGAGTTGTTTTGATGCCAGAGTCGTGTTGTCCTAACGCACGACTTGGCAAACAGTCGAGTTGTCTCAACGGTCGAATCGTCTCAACGGTCGAGATTGTCCGAAGTCGAGTTGGCAAATGGTCGAGTTGTCTAATATCAGTCCCTGGGTCAACATGGTCAAGTCGACCCCTCAAATTGAAACCCTGGTCAAGTTGTTCCCAGATTACCGTAAGTCATCCGGGGTGAAGTCGTCCCCAGGCAGTAGAGGCACAGATCACAACTCAGGGAGTCAGGGACTGTCCCTGGATTTGGAGAATTCCCTTTCTGGACAACACCAGTCCCCCAAAAGAGAGAATGTCCCCGTAAAAGGGGACATTTTTCCCACGTGGCCTTGGGTCGAAAGTATCCACGCACTATTATCATTTTTTTCTCCTACATTTTCCATTCATTTAAAATATTTAAAATGTTTTTTATGAATTTTGTGCCATGCCACTCGATTAAGTATATTTAAATTTAAAGATTGATATTTTAAAAATTGTTCTGACACAGTCTTTTTCCCACCCTTTATGCTAAATTGCATACTCTTGCTCATAATCCTAGAAGTAAACGGTAGAATTTTTTTAAACGGCAGCCTTGGGTATTGTTTTCTGCTGAATCTAATTATGGCAATAAAAGAATCCCCAGCTCAATGGTAAGATCTCCAAGCCCACTTGAAAAAAATTGTCCCCACTTAGGGGACATCGTCTGTTTTGCGGGGCTGATTTCGTCCCCAAATAGAGGGACTTCTCTACATTCAGGGACAGTCCCTGAGTTGTGATCTGCGCTTCTACTGCCGGGTCAAATCATCCCCTGGTAAAATTATTCCTGAAATTGAAACCTTGGTCAAATTGACCCCCACTTTTGTGTGTCAACTGTCAAGTGTTATCTGTGCGTGTAATTTTCTTTTTAGGTAGGCTTACATCAACCTCACATAGTGGAGAAAAGAAAACCAGACAGACAGAAGACGGGCACCATTTTGCTCGTCGCCCAGCACCCAAACAAGGGCGCTGGGAAGGGCTGATGCCCCAGGATGGCTTTGTTCTGTGATTGGCTAGTTTGTTCACGACCTCTGACTGCGAGGTTATCACTTCCTGTTTGAAATGTCAAAGGGAAATGTGATTTTCAGTTTTTGGTTAGCCAATAGCAATGCTTCACAATTTGGTAAAGTCGAAAGTGTCAGCTTACTTGTACATGTATATAATAAAAACATGGCCTTGAAACAATCACAGTAATTTATCTTCTCATTAGGTATCACATGTCTTTTGGCGATATACACATACATGTAATGTACATGTATTTCAAACATGGCAAATCATGGGTTATCTTGATCAATTTTGGATGAACTAAAAGTGTAACGAGAAAATTTTCAGCAATGAGGAAGAAAAAGATAAAATGTCAAATTGATAACTGCCATATTTAGCGAGCTCACATACATTGTACCTGGCAGAAATTTACCCCACTGCTCTGCACTAGGCACCGTCGATATCATGTTTTGGCTGATACGGATACATCAGGTTTTTTAATATTAGTATTATCGATGTATCAAATTTTAGTCATTTAATTTTCAAGGTATTATATGTTTATAAAGGCGTGAATTGCTTGTAAATTGTTCTAAGGGTACACCTCTACACCGTAATGGTGTGATTCAATTCATTTTGGCGACATGTTCTAGTGTCCGTATTGCGTACATTGCCCATATAGGCAGGATGGGATACATGCTGCCGTGCATAGCGATATCATCAGCACGTGGTGCTAGTCTACATGTATGTATGTTTGGTTAGCAAATAATTCTCTGTTTTGGAGGATACATTTTGTGATATTTTTGAGGCAAAGTGTACGCAAATTATTGAGTGTGAGACTGAGATACATGTACATGTAAGTGACTGATTATTTTATTCTTCAAATGTCGCTGTATAAGTGGCCTGGAGTATAAGCTACAGGGACATTTTTCACTCAACGTAAGAACCAACGTAAGCCGTGTTTTATAAAAAATTATGATGCTCTATCGTATTTTTTAATAATGTTCGTTCCTCAGTAGTGATATTTTTGATATATATTTCAATAACAATGTTTTCAAAGTTTCGATATTTTCGATATTTCTCTAAAATCCGATATTTTCAATATATCGATATTACCAAATAGCTAACATCGGCGATATCGATATCAAACCCATACATATCAATAATATCAATACATGTACTGTTGTGCTCAAAAGTATTCATCCCCATTGGAAAATAACATACTTTTTCTAAATTCTTCATTTTTAAAAGCTATTACGTTGGCACTTCCACTACATGTATATCTTTTGTCTGTTAGTTGCAATACACAAACCCACATTTGTATTGGCTAAACTTCATTTCCATAAGAATAAATATGGCCCGGGTTTCGTTTTTGCTCCTGTTCAAAAGTACATGTATTCATACCCCAGGTTTACATAGTCCATTGTATTTTCTTAATAGTCAATAGTATAGCCTTTGTTCTTGATAACTACCTCAAAAGGGTTCCTATACATGTATGTAAGTGTCCACAAGCTTTCTGCTTGTCTCCTGTGAGATGTTGGTCCACTCTTCCTTGGCGAAAGCCTGTCCCATATCTGTTAACATGGCCATGCAATAGCCCAAATGTAACTTGTTAGGTCAGTTCATATTGCAGGCGAATGTGAAAGCGAATATGCGATGAAATTTTGCTTGAGTTGGAATGTGTTCAACTTTTATGAATTCGCAATGCAAATGTTAGATCAGACATCACAAATTCATGTTCATGTTTGCTTTCGCAGTGGCATAAGGCCGATAAAAGTTGACTTCGTGATTCTTGTCACCGCTGGCATGGAAATTTCGGCCCGCATCAAAAAAGTTCATCGTTCATCTTTTTCTAAAAGACGCGTCTGATTTCATGGTTCTCCTCACGACGTCGGCACCCACGTGCAAATTTCGGCTCACATCAAAAATGTTCACCATTGGTTTTTTTTTACACAGTGTAAAGATCGTCATTCTAAATACCGAATGCTAGTGCTGTTGTATTGAACACGTTAAATTGATGTCTTCGCCAATACGTTAAATATGTTTGTTTTGGAAATGCATATACATGTACATACGCGTACATGTACTTGTATATATGTATGTTCATGGTTGCGTGTCTCCACATGTACATGTATAGAATGCAATATTAAATTGAGGGAGTAGAGGCATTTCTTGGGAAAAGCCAGTCAGCTTATGTGGGTGGAGTTAAATTATTCATGATACATGTACGCTGTACATACATGTAGATGTACAGTATTATGGGTCATATGTTGGCACTTGGTACATAGCGGGAAACAGGCACGATGCACGTGCCCAAGGTCACAGTACATACATGTACATGTAATGAGTTTTGATCGCAAGATTAAGAGTTTGATTAAGCATAATGTTCTTGGACATTATAACATCGGCGCGGTTGCACAGTGTAAGTGTGATGAATTTTTAGGAAAATCCGGCCTCAAATTTGTGGAGAAATTTGCTGATGAAAGAAGTGGCTGACAAGAACCTTGAGATCAACTTTCATCGGCCCTCATGTACGTACAGCTTGTGTACATGTGTAAATTTGTAGTTTCGTTTTGGTGGTGATTGCTGAATCATATGCCCTTGTATAATCTTTTTGCTTGGTTTTGTTTTCTGCCAGAGCTTAAGTCTGTCCAAAATGATGCTGTCTAGTCCCTATGCAACTGACACAGCCTATGGCGGCACTAAAGATGCATGCTGGGTTGATGTTGACAGTACTCCTCAACCTCGAGTACGACCAGAAGCAGAGGAGATCTATCAGAAAAGCAAGGGATGTGTGGGGAGATTACTAGTTCAAGGAGAGCCTGTGTATCGACCACCCAGCAGGCAAAGTAAGCCCTCAAGCAACTTAATTTTTGCACATACACCTGTAGTGGTGCATGTTAGGTCATTTTTTAGTCTTTGTTAAACAAATCTACATGAACATGTAGTGACATTTCACAGGACATTCCTGATGGTCTCCTTTAATGGCAGGAGTTACTGTATCAGGTTTTTATGTGTGGGTATCACAGAGCAGTGGCCACGCACTATGGCATACATGTACATTTAGGCATAGATATCGCAATGCTCACTGCCATTGGTAGGGGCCACTGCACTTAATGACCAGAAATGTTATTACCTAGGTCACTGGATTCATCTATAGGACTAAAGGTGGGTGTGTTTTTCATGGGAGTGTCAGCATGGCTAACACAGGACATCTGGGCCCCATTTTATGCCTCTGCTGACCACAGATTTTGGTGCTTACTTTTGAAATCAGCTTCAAACAGTGCAAGTGCTAACATACTGTACATGTAAATTCAGTGCTTAGTGATATAGCATGTTAGCACAGAATTGCTCACGGTCAATGTAGAATTGTCTGCCACACTGGCAGGTAGCAAAGATTTTTGTTTGTTAACCAAAGCCATAAAATCAGGATCTGACGTCGATGCTTACTGTGCCAACAGGCCCGTGATTGGTTACCGGGATACCCAATGGCTGATGTCGCATTGGTAAACTTCACTGAACATGAAATAACAAGCATCTTTGATTCCTTTGCAAACTTAAGGGTCGGAGAGCTAGGCTATGTCCAAAAACAGGCTTCCAGAGGTACGGCTAGGTCTATTGTCCGAGCGTCTCTGCATATTTCCAATAGAGAAAAGACCTTCATGTACATGTACACGTGTACATGTACATGTACATGTAGCTCTAGACACTGCAGATTCAGATGCAGGCCCTCCTTGGTTGGCATCACCTTCCATTTTTGGTGTTCATGGCTTAATGTACATGTGTATACATGTACTTGTATGTATCTAGTATTCAATAGACTTCTTTCTTACCAACTGTACTGCAGTTTCCTTAATCAAATACATGTACATGTACGTAGATGTACATGTATGTAGATGTACATGTACACATACATGTACATGCATGACGCTCGTGTACATGTACAGGTGTTTGCTTATCACTCATGTTACTCTCCCAGACACATGTTGCATGCGTTCATTATCACCTTACGGGCATCTCCCATTAATGTCCTCCACTTCACTCTCCCCCCTCCCACAAATACATGTAGAACCAGAGCCTAAAGATTTTGGGCGAGACAACATACGCAAGATGCGACAGATCCAGTCCATGAACAGACGTAAGAAGAGAGACGAAGAGAAGGAGGCTAGTCAACCAATCAAAGTCCTACCACAATCAGTCAAGTACAAGGAAGTATCATCCAAAGTAGCTGAACATGTCAAGGTATACGCCTGTACATATAGATGCAAAACATTGCAAAGGCAGTCTAGAAGTGAAACCTTTGTTCAACTTAACTGAGTCAATTTGAAGAATTCACTATTCAAATATTCGACCTTCAGTTTAATCGGATATGGGAATATTCGGTTGTACCAACCAGCAGATCATTGATTAATGCCTGCAGTTGGAACTTGCAAATCCTATTTCTACTATTGATATACAGTAAATACACCAAGTATAAGACTTTTGGCTCTTGAATACAGATGCTCGTTCATTCATCCTCATGCAAGACTTTTGTCACAATGTAAAGAGTGAAGTGTTGATTTTATCAAGCAGAGTTAAAATTGTTGCTTTTGGTCCTGTTTATAGCAACCTCCCCCTCCACCTAGGCCAGAATCAGTCAACTACTTACGTTCCCACAGTCGGACAGGAGGTGCCCCAAAGGTCAGAGGAAGGTCACCAAGCCCAGCACCTAGACCAAAAACAGCACCAGAGGTAAAGTGTGCAAGATGATAGGAGAAGAATGCATTGTGTGCTTTAGCAACCTGCAGATGTTTACTTTACTTGATTACTGACGAGACTTATTAGTAATTACTATCTGCTGAGGAAAACACCTTGTAATACAATATTGAAGTCGTCACAGGAGCACCCTCATGGGACCAGTGGTCACATTGTGAAACTTTTAAGTCCTTTGGGTTCGTCTAACATCTTGTCAATGTTTATTTGTTGAGATGAATGCTCCTCTTGAAAAATGGAACAGGGAACCAGATCCTGGCCATACCATATCTAGTTGGAACACGCATCTCTTAGCATGAATATTACATGTACACGTACATGTATGCAATGTACCCTGGTACTTGTAATCAACACCGAGCCAAACATTCATCACTTACAGTAGACCGATCCATTGTGTTCTGACCAATCACAGCCATGATTTATATCCGACATGCATGCATGCCTGTATATTGCNGCCGACCTGGTCTCCCTCCCCAGCATCATCATATTCGGAGACTCACCAGTCGACTCTTGGGGAGTGCAGCGATATGCAAAGTATGCATATGGCAGAAACTCATCCCAGTCACTCTGTTTCCTCTTTGGTTCAATCATCACAGCAACCACGTTGATCAAAGTCTTATTGAATCGCTCAACCAGTCCATCGGACTTTGGGTTGTACGCTGTAGTTCGAGTTTTGGATATGCCCAAAACCCGACACATCTCAGCAAAGACAGCCAACTCAAAGTTTGTCCCTTGGTCTGCGCGCAGTTCCAAAGGAATCCCAAACCTACAGACAAATTCGGTGACAAATTTATTTGCCACAGTTTCAGCCCTGGCATCGGGGAGGGGATATGCCTCCATCCACTTGCAGCAGTAATCCCCGACCACCATGATCCAAGAATTGCCACTGTCACTCCGGAGCAGTGGCCCCAGCAAGTCCACAGCCACTCTTTCCATGGGCTCGCCAACCACGTACTGTTCGCACTGTCTTATGAAAGACCTCACGTCAGCGGTCATTCCCGGCCAGGAAATACCGCATTTTTACCTTGGCCAGTGTCTTTGTGACACCCAAGTGACCGCTCGTCCGACCACCATGAAGCTCACGAAGGACCTCTTCTTGAAGCTTCCAGGGAAGTACCAGTCGCCACGTAACTGACTTCCCATCGTCGGACTCCCACCTTCTGCAAGTAACTGAATTTTATTAATTTAACTAGCTTAATCACAGCCAAGAGAAAAGGATAGGCCCTATTGTATTGACAACAGCCTGCATATCTGAAGTTAGCCCACACCTAGCTAGCTGCCTAACGTTAGGCCTAACATTAGCCCTGGTTGGACGATGTCTTCATTGGCGCGGCACTTCATAAATATTAATATAATAAGGCCGTGGCTCTTGTTACGGAAGCTTTAACGTATTTCCCATTTTATATTGCTACGGAATTGCAACAAGTGGGAATTGGGACTTTAGGCCTAGGCCTACTTTCCTTAAAATCTCCCAAGCCACTGAAAAAAGAAGAAATTCGAAAATTTGGAGTTTCGGATTTTTATCTCCTTGTTCGTTTTTTTTTAATTCTTCAAAGCCACGAAGTTTGAAACTACAAAAATGTCACTGAGTACAGCGTTGAACACACAAATTTTTTGTCTGTAACTCAATGCTATATACCGCCTGACCAGTCAGCTTGTCCCCTGCCTTTTAAAATCTTTCACAGAAATAGGCCATACTTAATACATGTTGTAGGTTTATTCCAGCTTTGTGGTCATTATGTTTGCACAGTTGCAATTCTGTAACAACAAAAAAATCCGCAGCAAAAGCCATTTCAAATAAGTAAAACTGCCTTATTGAGTCTTAATGGTTGATGTAAAAAAAAAATGTATAGCAAATCTGCCTCCGATGCACATCCCGAAAACGCAATCCAAATAGTATGACCATGAATCGTGCACAAAGCAGCCTCATGTGTGTATGACTTGTTCGCACATGTGTAGTATTGTGGTGTGTTGTGGGGGTTCTTCAAAATCGAATGCAGTTTCAGTCATGTCGGCACTGAAATGATATTAGTTCAGCACTCATTACAGTGCTGTGCATGTGTGAGCGGGTCATGTTGCTGCGCATTTTACGCAAGGTCATGCCATGTGATTGGATTTTTAGAACGTGCATCGATGTCAGATTTGCGATAAATTTTCGTAAAATACTTCAACCAAGAGGGCATATTTACTTCATGTCCAAGCCAAAAATGGATATAGGACAAAAAAAACATCTGGATGAGATTTCAGGTACCTCCATAAGGTAAAAGTGTGGAAAATTGGGACTTCCTTATTTTCAGCAAGACGGGGATCAGTCATCAACTGGACGTTAGTCATCATGCAATGAAGACATCATCCAACCTGGGCTAGCCCAGTCCTAAAGTTTGCCCAAGCGTTACCTATATCTGCTTTTGGCTTGGACTACCCTGTACTTAGTATTAGCAGAACTTTCATGACTCGAACTCAAGCCTTTCTAACATTAACATAAATACATGACAAGGTATAGCTAGTTCAGTTGATGGAATGGGTTATTATTATTATGTCTTGTGCTAAGAATACATTAGTCTAACAAGCCTAGGCTTAGGCATATTCGAGTCGGCCTATTTGCAAACTGGTGGTTGTAGGGTGTTAAATAAACTTTTTCGGAAAAGAAAATAATATTGTTAATTATTTTAGCTTTTGTTCTATTTACATCTTGCTCCCTTAACTTAAGTATGAAATCATGGTATCAAATTGCATCAAGTTTCTTTACAACACTAACAGATATTATTATTATTTTTGTTTTGCTTCAGGGAAAAAGGAAGTTGATGTCTTGGTCCAATGGCAAGATGGCTCTCGAAATGTTGTTTCAAACATTGACCTTGTGTATCGAGGGCCCTTAAAGAAAAAGAAACTTGTCAAGATGAGATGGGGAGCAACATGGTGGAGAGGACAAGTGATGGATTTTGAAAAGGATGTTGAGAAAAGTAGGTCATCATTATTTAGGCATATCCATATATGGAATTTCAAAAAAATTACTATATTAGAAAAAATCTGTGTAAGATTGTGAGTTTTCCTCATACTTTATTTTGCCAAGTGCATCTGATGTAAACTGTGATGATCAGTCCTTGAGGAACCTTGGGTGCAATACTAAAAAAAGTATGACAGGCCAGCAAAATTTGGACAGGATTTTTAACAGCTTTGAACATGATTATGTGATGTATGATATGTGATTAACAGATCTATGTTAACTGTATTGGATCATCAGTGGTTTCAGAATATGGCTCGAGAATGTAAGGTCAGTAAAATCTTACATGTAAAACATGATCCTTAATTTATTCAGGAACTGGTCTATATCTGTCTTAGAAAAATGGTTTCAGAATGTGGTTTGAGAGTGTCATTGTACTTCCCTTTTTTCTGTCGTAGATGCACCCCTGACCTCTGTGGAAACCATTGGAAATGAGCATCTGACAAACCTTGAGGTAGCAGAGTCTATGACAGGTCAGTAAAATTTTCAATGTGACTTTTAGTCGAACCTCAATTCCCTGAAGAGGCACTTTTTGGTTGAAAAGGAGTTTTTTTTTTGGAAATGAAGAACATAATCTTTGCCACAGCCACAGTCCAACCTAAAAAGCTTATAGGCTGTATTTGAACAATAGATTTTGTTACACAAATTTTTGTTGTTTTTTATTCCTTTTTTAATTCTTAGGAAAAATGGTTATAATTACAATATTATATTTAAATGTACCATCTTGCGTAAATTTCATTTGCAGCAAGCTATCGGGAGAAAGAAATTCCTAGTGAAACAGCATTTACACCGAGTGTTACACATGGTGAGTGTTAAGTACATGTACGAAATCAACTTGTTTTTTAGCTTTGTTGTCTTAACTTTTCCTTAAAACAAATTTGAATTCTACAGCGGCATATCTAGATTTGTTGTGTGTGTTGGGGGTGGGAGATTTGAAAGTTAATGTGACTGTTGGCTCACTCATTGTCCTCCCCCCTTATGCAACTTGATTTCTCACAGTATTGCAATTGAACTCCATGTGTGGACTGCTTTAATACATGAATGTAGTTGTAAACCTTTATATATTTCTGCATGTGTAATGGAGCTCATTTTCGTCATAAAGGAGGAACCCTAAAACATGTATTGCACATCACATTGAGTGGTTCCTTAGAGAATGCAGCAGTGGTTTTATACAGATTTCATATTTTCCTCATTTTTTTTCTACAGATCCAGACATCCCAAACACAGGTTCTCATACAGACAGCCAGCTGAATCCATTAAGGAGATATGAAGATATCAGCAATAGCAAGACAGAAATCTGCTCAAATTTCACATGTAAAGATGAGATTTTTGCAGCATGTTCCATTTGCCAATGTCTGTTATGTTTTGAACACTTTGTAGGTGATACAAATTGTGAATCCCATAACGAGTTCTTCTATGCTTACAAAATAACTGAAGAGCCTGAAGATGGCACTGAAAAAAATGAATCAGTAAGCGAATTCATACTTCAGTCAGAGAGTGAAACTTCATTTGAATTGCTTTCAACTTCATTTGAAGAGGACACATGGAAATATAGCAATAGTGAAGATGGTGTTAATCATGACAACTCAGCAACCCACACACAGTGTCGATAAGACGATTATGTAGAAGTTAGTTCATAAGCAATAGAAACAGATCTCGGTCCTGTTGAAATGGACTTGCAACCAGAAGATTTCGTAGTGGATGGAGAACCTCGTACACTTAACACAACAGAGTCAATGAACAAGAGAAGTTTATCCAGAAATAAGAATGTGAAAGACAAAAGAAACAGTGGTATGGGATATTTCACAGAAAAAAGCAACAAATATATTCCAGGACGGAAATCACAGTCCTTTGTGTCTTGTTCAAAGTACTGCAAACCACGAGGGTTGTCATGTCAAGAGTTTTCAGAGGTTGCTAAGCATGAGATCAGAACAGCCTTTTTTACCCATGATTTGCAAAAACAAAGAGAGTGGATAGCAAGATATATCGAGGTAAAGAAACCTCGTAAGGGCACCTGTCACTA